CCACACCCACACCCCACACCCACACCCACACCCACCCACACCCACACTAATACCCATCCCACACCCACACCCACACCCACACACCCACACCCACATACCCACACCCACACACTTACACCCACACACCCACACCCACACCCACACCTACCCACACCCACACCCTCGACTATTAAGTGAAATATTTCATATTTCAATTGGAGCTGTTTCAAATATTTTAAAAAGAAAATTAGAATACACAAATGATTACGAATTGAACAGAAATAAAAAATAAAAAAAAAAATTTTTTTTGCATGATCCCCTTCTATAAGATCACCCCATCATTATGAACGATTTAGGAAAGACCCAGTGGTGTTCAGAATAGAGAGGTTTTACTGTAAGTAGTTAGTTATGATAATTGTCTTTAACGTTTATATATTATTTATAAAAAATAGAAAATTAAAGCTAAAGACAAAAGCTTTTTATGTTTCAACACCTGTGAGATCATTAGGAAAACGAATTTCGACCATTAAACGATAAGATTGACCTTTGCCATAAATATTAACAAAAGTAAATTCTTTTCAATTTTCAACCAACTGACAAAGATCTTGTTCAAAGGTGGAGATATATTGAGCTAAAATAAAGAGTTTTATTATTGTTTTATTTTCTTTTATAAGATCATTGTAGTTGTGCGTATATACTTATTGATTCCAGTGTTTGTAAAGACTTCAATAATCATAAAAATAAAACTGCATAGGCATATCCTTCTCTGTAATTCAGTCAAACTTAAATAAAGAGAAAGACAATGAGACAATATGAATTCGTAAAATAGACTAAAGTTTTAAATAAAAATAGTTTTCTTTTTCTTTATCTACATTTCTTTTTAAAAAAAAACAAATAATCGTGTCATGTTACTCTTATATGAACAAGTTTTATTAATGATTGATTTCTTTAATAAAATATGCTATGAATATAAATTTCATTCTTGTTATTTACTCTTAATTATTTCACTTTTTCATCAAGAAGGTTTTGAAAGCATTATAAATTTGATCAATATTGTAAAATAAAACTTTGCTTTATTCTATATTCTTAACATTTCCTGTTCTTCAGAACAATATACCGCAGTTTCAAGAACCTGTAAAAAAAATTTGTATGTTTCTATTTATTTTGTGTGTTTTTAAAAATTTTAATCGATATTGAAGATCGTTAAGAACATTACTTAGAGAAATATTTCTATAGAATATTTCACAACTCGAATCATTTAATCAGTTGACTACACGAAATGTAGCAGCCAACTTATTACTTTTCAGTCAACTAGTTGTCGTGATAAATTCTTTTCCGTTTCGATGTGTCTATTATAGTACAAGTTATCCACTTGTTCTAAGTGCTTGAGCATCATTTCAGGTCGGACAGAATCTTGTTAAGATAAGTACACATCTGAAAACCGTTTTTATGAAGAGCATTGATGTAGAGAGTGGGTGTGGGTGTGAGTATGAAGGAAGGGAAGATTAACAGCCACTCACACCCACACTCTTGCCTAGATGTCCACTACGGTCTATAATAGTTGCTGACTAGCATTTCTCACAATCTGTGGTGAATGCGGAGATTTTTGCCTTCAATATTCCTTTTAAATCTTGTTTCACAAAATTAAAATCGTTTTTAGGAGTTTATATTTGATTTAATAATGCGAACACTCGTATGAATTCTTCTCTTCAAGAATATTCCACTATTGCTTATAGAACAGCTTTCTATTTTTAGTTAATGAAAGAAATGAAATAAAATTATTCAGTATATTGTGTCTGACGTATATGAAATGAGGAAGTATCATTAACAATCCATTTTGAAACACATCATGGCACATTTTAAAATTGATTGCTAACACAAATTCACAATTGAAGGAACTGTTTAAAATAGAAACAATTTTGGATTTCGTAAAAATATTACAGACAAATATCCGTGAATACAAATTGCTCGTTTAGCATATCGACGTTATCATCAATACAATTTTATACGAAACTACGTGCGGTGCTAGAAAAGTTTCTTTTTAACCTTTTATATCTTGTGCATCCTTTTATCTTTTCATTTCTTTCAGAGATTAGTCACGTGTCACTCTTCATGTGAGTGTAAAAGGTTTTGCAGTATAATTATATCTATAACCACAATTTTTATATCAATGACATACTCCGATGTAGGATAAAGCTAGCTTAACTCATGGTCATCTAAACCCAGTTCACTTGTCTTACTAGAGTATGAGCAATCTAATATTGCGATAAGTCAACTTTGCATTGAAAAAGTTGAAACTTGTATCGAAAACTATATGTGACTACTCTGAAAGAAATAAAAGGCTGAAATTTTGCACACAATTCTAAATATATGTAAGAATTATAATAGAACACTTGAACTGAAATTATAGATTTTAGAAGAGCTGGGCGAAAAAGTTTTTCTAATGCTCTATGTATCTGAATAACAGGTATAATGTAGTAATATTCATATTTGTCAAGAAAAAATAACACTATCTAAAATTTAGATATTTATCATTCTATGTTGATCTTTATGATTTATTTATATATCATGCTCGACTGAATTACATATATAAGCCAACAGAATTCTTCCATTGAGCTCTAATATATCAGCTTATCGATTTAAATCCTCAATTTTGGAATAAAAACAATTACATTTAAAATTAAGTAAGTGAAAAAAAGAAAGATTAACTTGTTCAAACTGTAAAAGTCAATTATGAACGTTTGAGTACATTTAATTGTCGTTGATCATTCGGTCTTGCAATCCATATATCTTCAATATTCACATTATCTACAGTTTTAACTGCAGTTTTTAAATAAAATCCATCTTTATAACCATAAACTTTTTCAGCATCTTTTAAAGCTCGTAAAACTTTAACAGCATGAACATCATTCATTAATTCTGTATTTAAAATTCGTTCAATAACATAATTCCAATTATTTTTTTCATCACCCATTTTATAATCATTGATAAGATGTTCATTTATTTCAGGCCGTAATTGATATACATATACAACAATAGCAAAATAAAAAACTGCAAGAAGAATATGTTCAAATGTTTTTTGATTATTTATATGTGGATATATTATACGAATAGCATGCATAGCAGTCACTAAGGCACCATTCATTACGAACGTCTACATAAAGAGAGAAGGGGACGGTCAAACATTTCTGGGTTCCCAAATATCTACTATGAATGTTTTTCTATTTTTTCACACAAGTGTCCGCAAGATTTTGAAGGTTACGCATAATCCTCCTCTGATGCTCCATTCCGATCTCAATGATTTTTTACGTTTAGATACTACATAGTGTTCTAACAGAAACTCTAAAAGGATTTGGACTACTTTTAATATTTCGCTAAGTTATCAAATAGTGTAAGATATCTAGTTTCGAGAAACCTGTGTTGTCGAGTTTTGATTTATTAGAACACTATATAGTATCTAAAAGCAAACCATCATTAAAATCAGAAAGAGGACATTTGCAGAGTTTTCTTTGCCAACTTCAAAATCTCACAAACATTTATGTGAAACAAAAGGAAAATACTCATAATAAGTGTTCGAATATCAGAAAATGTTTAACCACTCTTCCTTCTGTTCAATTTTGACACACACCCTTCCCTGTCCTGTTAACCTGGACGCTCTCTATGGATGGCTCCTAAATGAAGTAAGACAAAACCAAACTCAATATCATTTGGTTTATGTGTTGCACCATAGGCATAAACTGCTAAATCAAATAATTCTTCAATTGTTTTTTCAATATTTTCTTTATTCATTTTCCATTGATTGTAATGAGATAGAACAGAATCAGTATAATTTTTAACAATTTCTTCGAGTGTTGGAACATCAGATGTATCATAACTCGGCAAACGATTATCCAAACGAATATCTTTAAAAATTTCTATAGCTGATTTTGAAGGAGATTTTGGTGGTTTTAATTTGTCAACAATATCATGAAGATAATTATAACTAACAGCAGTCATTGCTAATGCTTCAATACCTACAATTTGGCTATCTAATTCAAATGCATAACCAATATGAATAAGTGGATGTGCTAAACCGCAAATAACACCATTAATTAGTGGATGTTCTTCATTATCTAATAAAAATTCCTTTAATTTTTCATGCCAATTATTTCCACTTGTTGTTAATTGTTCATGAAAAAAATCTCGATAACTTTTACAAAAATCTTTATCACCAAGATATGTTCGCCAATTGGAAAGATTTATTTCTTGAGGAGATGTTTCATATGGAACAAGTTCTTTACACATGATTTCATAAGCTTTTTCCAATTTATCATCAGTTGCACCCAATAAATAAAGTGAACCTAAATGATGTGGATTATGATTATGAAATTGAAATTCATTAAAAAGAACATTATAATTTTCAAATGAATGCAATAACAGTTTATTTAATACAGTTCGACTCATTGATAATCAAATATTGCACTTGTTTTTTTTTTGTAAATGCAAGATAGATAATATTATTTTACTTAGTTTTAATATTATCTCATGCTTGCGATAACATGCATTTATTAGACAAAGGAAGCAAAAAAGCATAGTGTTATTTTTCTCTTTCGAACTGGTTCCCTGCTTTAGTTATGATGTCATCAGTTTGCTTTCCTTAGTTTTATATGACCCATGCGTAAAGATCGTTATATGCTCTTTTGATTTTATTTATTGTGCTAGAGTTGATTGATACCAAGAAATGCATAGATTTCGTTATAAATATAGAATATTTGTACGTATGCGTCTTGGATGTCAAAGTACCAGATGACATTCTAACATCTTCGATTATAAAATGGTTTATTCTTTGTTAGAAATAGTTTTCAATGAATTAGATTATTATACTCAATTTTTTTGCAATGAAGAATCAACTCAAAACGACCGAACTGTCCATAAATCTATTGATATTATTAAAGTTTTTGAATAAATAAGTATCGAAACAAAAAAAATCCAAAAATGATTTTTTTAGTCATTTTTAATATATTCAGGAATAGTACTCCTCCATATAATAAACCAGAAATAATTATAATGTACATCCATTTAATGTAGCAGCGTAACCAAGTATAGACCGAAGAGAAAATAGTAGAGACTTCAGTCTTGAAGTCTGCTATTCTTCATAGGGATAGGTTGTGCCAGGTACCACCCGAACAAAGAACAACGTAATCAGCCATTATTATTGACACTATATTCCATGATTATATGGATTTTGTTCAATTTTCAATCATATCAAACCGTTTACAAACTTGAAGTTACGGTGTTATATGAAGGAAAAAAATCACTTTGCAATTATCGTGATTAGACAATCACGAAAGAACTTTTCAGCAGTACCGCATAATAATCTTGCTTTTAATAAACTATTTTGTAGCGGTAGGAAAGCTACACAAAATACATATAGTTTGAAAAAGTGATGAACTTATTTGACATACTTAAACTTCGAAAAAAAGAACAATGATTGATTATTTATGTTAAGAAAAATATCGATCATTCAAAGATTATTCAACAGAAACCGATTTTGACATTCCATTAGGACAATGTTTCATCTGTTAATTTGTGTGCACGTGATTAATTTTTGTATAGAACATTTACTAAGCCATTATATAATTACTGTTAATATTGATGCATTATTTGATCAAGAATCTTAACCAAAAAAAACAGAAATATTAGAACTTCGTCAGAAGTTGAATAAAACGTGATCATCTTACACTTCATTGTCACCGTTAGATGATGACATCTTTACTTAAAGAAATACAAGATAAACAGGGTGTGTTGTTTTTTCTTTTGATGAATTCCTTTCAGCAAGTGGTAGCATGCAAGTAACATTCGTTTATATTAGTAATGTATTTAAAGAACTATGTAGAAATTACTTTTGTTATTTTCGAAATCAATATTGACCCAAGTGATACCACTATATTTCTTAATATCGATGATTTCGATACACTTGGTCACGGCAAAAAATGAATGGTTTTTCTTGATCAGCAGTATATTTCGCTTTGAAACAATTGAATAATAACAATAAGATCTTTCGTATCTATTTGTATGCAGCCGATCAGAAAGATACATAATAAATTCATCTCATTCTGAACATATATATTTGCTCGAAGAAAATTTCATGCAAAGGTAATTCGGTAATATTAACAATTCAGGCGATCATTTTCACAGAACGATCTATATTGAGTTAGATAATACGTATTTTCTACGAAATAATTTCACACAAACTATCAACTATCTGATGTATGGATATTTTATCTTCCTATTAACTCTATCTTGAACTGGTTCCTAACGAAACGTTTCTCATTTGCTAAAGTATCTAACTAATTGTCGATTATTAATATTCGCTAGACTCTCTATTACCTACCATGTAAAGTATAAATACGTTTGAAGAATGTATAAAAATCGTCTTAACATAATAAGCGAATTCAGTATTAATTCTTATACATGTGAGACATTATTAAACATATTTAGGGCGTGGGTGTGAGCGTGAGTGAGTGTGAGTGTTGTTTTTTTTCGTATCCTTGGCACACGCCCATCTAACCTATACTGACACTCAATCACACCCACACCCACACCTTACAACCACATCCGCACCTCATGCTCGCTCCGTTTCGGTCTCTGATCATAACCACTCAATCTCTAAGTCAACAAGATTAATCAAGAAAAAAATAAAGAAAGAAAATTATATTGTATTATCAATTGTTTTTAAAATGTCTCTAAGTCTATTAATAATAAGAGAAATTTTAAAATGACTAAAAGCAATTAAACATTCTCTATTTTGTTCTAAATCAAAATAGATTCAATTTGTTAATTCATCATATTTTATTGGTAATTAAAAATTTAATTTTCTCTACACTGAAAGGCTAGGGTCTAGAAACCGAAATTCACCTGTGTCTGTCTGTCTGTCGGTAACGCGGTCAAAATGGCCATTTTTTTGGCACATGTGACCATTTTTTTGGCACAAACGACCATTTTTTTGGCACAAGTGACCATTTTTTTGGCACAAGTGACCATTTTTTTGGCACAAATGGCCATTTTTTTACTAAAATCAACTAGGTAACTATGGTACAAATGAGCATGTAACTATGGCACGAACGGTCATTTTTTTGGTACAAACGACCACGTAACTATGGCACAGGTGACCATATAGCAACCATGGTACAAATGACCAAATACTAATTATGGTCAAAATGGCCGTTGTAACTATGGTACAAATGACCATTTTGTTCAAATGCCCACAGTAACTATGGCACAATTGCCCATAGTAACAATGGTACAAATGGCCAAATAATAACTATGGCCAAAATCGCCATAGTGATCGTGGTAATAGTGATGATAGTAGCACCATGATCAAAAAATCGACTTGGTAATTATAGTACAAATGATCATACGATAATAAAAATTTATTCTTGTTAATAATGTGATATATAAATAAACGAAATAAAATTCTTTTTTTTTGTGCAAACAGCGCCAATACATAAATAAAAATTATAAAAATACACTAATATTTATTATTTGAAAGATGAACAACGATATGAATGCAAACAAATCGCCGCATAAACGTAGTTTCTTCTTCGATACCCGAGAGGAACGATTACAACAGCTGGAGATGATCTTAAGTATGTAATGTAATCTCAGAGGATAAAAATTATGAGTAAAATTTTATTAAGTCAGTAACTTTTTCGAAAAGCTATTTGATTATCCCTTTTGATCAACTTACTGATATGCTTGAAACTTGTTACAAGTTTATGAAAAAGTATCTTTGCTGGAAGCTTAAACTTGACATGAAGTTTTGTATAATTTCTGGCGAAACTTTCACGGAAGAATATATCGAAGAAAAAACGGATGTATCTTATGCTTATTTTGCAGCTGATTGGAAATGCATCCATTAGAGTGAGAATTCTCCAAATTAAGTTTTCTGGTCGCCTAAGATATACTGGTCATATTATCAATTTTTGCGTATTACTTTTTTAATGTAGCTTTTTATGCTGTTACATACGTACATGCATTCTATCAGTCTAGGGCTAAGTGAATCGCTTGACGATGAACGTTACTTGTTAGAATAAAATAAATTGAAAATATTATTTTTAATTTACTTGATCTTTAAATCTATCAAGTACTGTCGAAATCGATTCGACAACTTCAGTCACCGACATATTCGCTATTCACAAAATAGCTCTAAAAAAATGAGAAACAATATAGAAGGAAGAGAAGCAGACAAAAGACCAAGAGATCATCATTTCTTTTTTAATGCGAATATATAAGTAGAGATTTGCTGGAAAAAAAAGAGAACGAAAAAAGGTACTTTTTTTCAATTCTCTTCTGTTCTCTCTCTGGACATTCCTAATCGTCTTGACAACAACGTAGATAAATACAATCAAAATACAAGTAGAGTTATAAGTCGTCAGTCGATTTTTGCTGAAGTTGACGGCTAGCAGCCGGTGTTTTTGCTAGAGCCGACGGCTTGCAACTCTATGTATAAAATCACATTATTATAGAGGACTTATTTAAACAAATCATCTTATTTTTAACCAATCATAAAACTTTTGATACAAATCGGACGAATTTTTTAAAAGTAAATAATGAAGCTGTTACATATCATTTATTTCTATTGGGTTGGTAAGAAATTTTTGTCGTTTTTTTTCGTAACTTCGTAGAACAGTCAAGAAAGTTCTAGAAGTTTCTATATTAAGGGTATATAAAGGGAGTGTAAATATCTTTTGAACAACAATAAAACTATGGATATACAGGGTGTCCCAGAAGTAAGGGAACAAGAAGGGTATCCGCTAAAATTGAACGAAAAATTGTTTATGATAGTTTGCGCACTTTTTATTGATGTAGAGAGCTGAAATTTTTATCACACCTGTATCTAGCCAAGATCTTTTATTTCTGAAAATAAAATCTTTATTTGAATGATGTTTTTTGGGTACTGCTGCATTTGAGAAAATAGTTCTTATCTCACTTGCTAATAATGGTTTAGTAGTACTAACAAATAATTTTCTTCAAGAGTTGATTTCTGTCAAAAATTAAATAATGATTTAACTATTTCTGTATTTTTTTTCTTTTGTATCTGACAGAGAAGTAAACACAATTGACCACAATAATTTTTCGAGTGATACGTAATTTATTTTAACTGTGGGCAAGTATCTTCATTATTATTTTATTTAAAATCGTTTTTTGTTTGATTTATTCTTTTTAGATCTACTTATTTAATAGTCTTCCCAATTTATTATGTAATGTTTATCGAATCGTTTCAAAGTGTAAGTCCATCAGATTGAAATTTTATTTGATGATAAACGAAGATCCACGTATTTGCTTTTATTTCTTATTCATCATCAATCAGTGGTGGTGGTCATAATAAAATGTTACCTATATGAAAAATTCTTATTCCAGTCATTGATCTTATAACAAGATGTTATATATGTGAAAAATTTTTATATAAAATTATATTACCAACATTAAATGCAATTCAAGTAGCTGATTATTATCGAAAAAGAAAACAACGACGTATTGCTCAGATTAATTTCAGAATAAGAATTCTGGTGTTTTTAACTTAATATTTGTTTTTTTACAGTTATCAATAAATGATGATTATGAAACAACAGAAGATGTTCTTTTGTTTGAAACGACTTATGCATCATTAATTGCTTGTATTACTGCAGGTTTTTTTGATCAATTATTATTTTATTCCGTCGAAACAATTATGCAGGGTGTCCCAAAAGTCGTGTCCAGTTAAAAAATACGTATAACTCCATTATTACATAAGCTTAATCTAATTTTTTTTATTTGCAAGGGGGAACATAAAGTTTTTTCTATCTAATACAAAGTTCATCAATACCCTTTAAAGGCTATCACTTCGCGGTGCAACACAAAAATGTAGCATTTTTTCAATGTCAAAAAAAGGTGTGCAATGCTTTTCCTATATTTAATTAAACTTCCATTGCTATGGTAGGCTTTGGGTCATGAACATCCTTTATTGCTATTCTGCAACCATTTATTTGATATTTTTTGAGAAGATCGACTAGCTACTATATTTCTGGAAAGCAGATTTTCCCTGACACAAGCAGAACTCTCATAATTGGTGAAATCAAGATATTGAACAATGTTGTGCCTCTAACTATCATTAGACTTGGTGCCGTTGCGTTGTTTTCATATGCAAATATCAAAAAAATGCTAATAAAACAATATTAGATGGTGATTATGGTTTAAAGTCCATAATAACGATAGAAATTTAATTAAATATGGGAAAAGCATTGCACACCTTTTTTTGACATTGAAAAATGCTACATTTTTATGTTGCAGCGAGAAGTGATAGCCTTTAAAGGGTATTTATGAACTTTGTATTAGACAAAAAAAAACTTTATGTTCTCCCCTTCCAAATAAAAAAAAATTAGATTAAGCTTATGTAATAATGGAGTTAAACGTATTTCTTAACTGGACACGACTTTTGAGATACTGCGTACATCGTCTTCATGTAGAAGATGTTCGTGCTGTTATTGATAATACCGATACCAATGTTGGAGTATTGCCTATTAATTCATCTATGTGTTATACTGATTTTCGATCTTGTTTAAAATCAATTGAAGAGACGAAAGGAAACATATGTTTATACAAAGATATTGGATGTGTATTACTTAAACTTTCATTATTATATGGTGAAATGTTGTTAGCACATGGTGTCGTTATAAAAATCTGTTATTGATAATAGACCTTCATCAACTTCACCAATGACAACATCTAGTTGGAAAAGAGAACCAACAACTACGATAACAAATGAGAGTAGACAATCGTATTTAGTCGCAAAATATATTTTCTTTTTTTGAATTGAAATTAGGTTGAATAGAATAATATCGAAACTACTTCTAGACTGTTTTTTGAATGAACTGCAAAAAAATATAAAGTTTTCTTTGAATCGACAGTCATTTTCACATGCTGAGATTTACTTCTAGATACAGAAATGTCTCAATCTTCTTCTGAAAATTATTGGAAAGATGATGATCCAAAAGGATCAAACATTGAAGAAAATAAAACTCATACATCATGGTCATCATCAACAGACAACGAAAGTAATCAATATTCATGGTGTCAATTTGATGAAGAAGCAAAAAACTTTCAGAGAAAAATGGAACAGGTACAAAAGGTAAAAAAAAAAGAAAAGAAAACAAAGTAATCCTTATCTACTTCTTTCTTTAATCATAGAATATATAGTATGATTCTTATAAAAAAAAATCCATTTTTTTCCGTTTCAAAATTTTGAATTTGAAACACTATTTATTTCTTCATATTGCATATTTCATACGTTTTAAAACAGATTAAAAACTCGACAACATGTTTGACTAATTGTTCTTGACCAAGTAATGTCTTATTTCTCAAAAAAATGAAACAATAGATTTTAATATACTTAAATTCAAGGCCCCTCAAAAATCGATCTCAGGACCGGAACATCCAAACTACATGAAACTTTCAGGTTATGTGGAGGCTGGCGAGCGATGACTATAGTAAAATTTTCAGCTCTGTAGTACGATGTTTAACAGAGATATTCACCAAACAAGGGTCAAAAATAGCTCGATCGTATCTCCAAGTTTTCTCTGTGGGCCTTTATTCTAGGCATTCAATTATTTTTGTTTGAAAGAGCATGTCATAATGCAGCTCCCTCCTGGTCCTTATTTTAAAATTCTTATTTTTTAAACGAAGAAAAAGAATGACAAGTTCAACGACTCAAGAAAATCCCTAAAAAAATGGCGCTGTTTCTATAGAGGTGTTCTCTTATATGATAATAAAAAGGCTTATTTAAAAAGAAAGGACATGGGGGGGGGGGGGGGGCTAGCCCTAAACACAAGCTTTCAAACAAAAAGTATTTGAATTTATCTTTTATTATGATAGAGTTTTGTTGGCGCTACGTTGTTGAACCCACGTTCTGAGAAAAACAAAAAAATGATTTTCGGTTTTTTTTCTAAAAACGGCTTGTTTTTCGAACAGGGGATGACGAAATTCTTTCAAAGCTTTTGGAAGAAAAGAGGTGCCGAATAACAATTTTTGTCGTTTTTGAAAGAGTAGATGACGGGCTATCTGCCAAGGATTTATCTCAATTTCGATGATTCTGACTAAAAGTGACTTTTTTGAGGGGGCCTTAAATAGTGACAGTTTCGATTTTAAGTAAATACAATTTTGTTAAAGAAGAACGTTAAAATGAGCAATGTGTTGATATTTTGCTTTTGACTTCTGAACTCTTTTTTAGGAGCTCATCAATCATGTTATGCAGTTGTCTTCATCATCAACACCAGCAGCTTTCAATATTAAACCAAATATTGATTTTCTTATCGATGAACCAGTACTGGTAGCAGTAGGAGAACCATTATTTGATATTACAAATGAAAAAGAAGATGTTAATAACATGGCTTTTCGTTTATCTTGTCAATCAACTGCTATGCTGAATAAGATTACAGAATTGGTGAAGGACACAGGTCTTTCATTTGACAATAAGTTTTGTCTTGAACTTCGACCTGCATCATTTTATAATAAAGATATTGAAAATCAGTTATGGGAATTGAGAATGAATGTTGATCCAGTTACTTGGTTTGATTTACAATGGCGTCAATGTGGTGATAATGAAGAATTTCAACGTAAATGTGTTGCAAAAGTAGGATTGCTATTTTCTTGTCAGTTTCATTTTAACTTTAGATTTCTATAAATTTCAATTAAGACATTTGACTTTAAATTGTCTTTAGTTTTGTTTTATTCTTGCACTTAAATTCTACTAATTAATTAGATAAAATCAGAATAAACAAATAAAATTTATTTAAAATTAAAGTGATCTAAAATCTATTTGATTTATGTAATAACTTTTTGTATAAATAACTTTTTCCTCTTATGTTTAGGCAGGTTCGTACATTAAAAAATATCGTTCGTTTGTTGTTCATCAGATGCCATCTATATCATTACACGAACCAATCACAGCTCCTCCTTACTGTGAACGCCAATTAACATGTACCTATAGAAGATATTATGATTCTTCTCATCCAAAACATACGGACATTATATGCAAAGTTAAAACAAACTGGCAAAGAGATGATGACGACCATGAATGTGGTCAATACCTGATGGATGAATATATTGTGATGGAATGGTCTGTAGCACCAAGTATGTATTAATTTATAGAGAGAAAAATTTATTATGTTTCATTTGAAAAACTTGATTTCAGTATTTTTTGTTTTTGATTTAATTGATTTTAAATCATATATGATAAACTAATATCGAACTTACCTTATAAAAAAAAGTCTCGTGTTAGATACATTAATAAATATTATGTGATAAAATAGTTTTATTTTGGAAAATAAAAGAACAATAATAGGTGATCATATGTTTTTTTAAGTCTTTATCTACCTTAGTATTATTGTTGAGGCTGTTTATTTTTTTGCATGACTTAAGCAATGCTTTATATGTGACGTTTTATTTCAAGACTATTGGGAAATAGTGTTATATCGAAATTTTAAATATTTTCTATTCTTATTTCTAGTTATGCAATTATTGAAAGATCAAACATATAACTCGTTGCAACTACAAGCAGGCGAAAATTTTTATACTGATCAGTCGCGTTTTATTTTTACGGCGAACAAAGAAATTATTCGGGATCTTGTTATCCTTCCTATGCCACCATGGCATTTATCAAATAGGCAAATGATTCAATTACCTTTGTTTTGGGCTACTGCAATAATTTCAAGTAAAATGTTACATCGTGAAATAAAACAAAAATTGTTATCTGAACAAGAAATGTGGCCAGTAGAAGCTATTGCCATTAATTTTGGTCAATGGGAGGCTGCTGGATCTTACGATAAACGACACATTGATACTCATGCTCATGCACATTTATTGCTTACTTTATCTTTTATGAATGCATGTGATAATACATTTTTCCGGGCACTTAAAGGTCGAGTAATGCATCCACCGGATTATCTACGACAAAACACACAATCATTACAGTTCGAGAGATTACAAAATCATGACTTTGACTCGAAGCAAATGCTTGAATTATCTATACGATTGACTAATGTAGAAAATGATATACAAGGTATGAAAAATGATATACAAGATATAAAAACTGGAATGCTGGAGTTGAAAGAATGGTTGATCAACTTAGATTTTCACGTGTTCACAAGCCCAACTCCAACCTCTCTTCCAATTTGAGATATTGGTTTTGGTGTACTTTCGTTTTTAAGCTATTGGCTTTGATATTTTATCACATGGTGACAATATTTCGATTATTATGTCTTTTTTGTTTTTCTTTCTGTTCTTTGACTTCGTGTATGATTCATTACGATATATTGATATACATATCTGTACACATGTCTTTTTTTTCAAAAGCTAGTTCTAAGTTAGTTACTCTTGCTCGCTTCTTTTCATCTCTATTGTTTTTTGTTTCTGTTCTTTTCAAGTCAATAAAACTTGTTATTGATCTTGGCCTTTCTATTGTCTATTATGTAATTGGCAGGGGTATGGGCGTGAGTCTTCTGTTCAACCACTGATGTATACCCGTATCCACACCCCTAATTTTAACTGATTAATTATCTTACTTACAATGGAGGTGTGGGTGTTGTCAGTCAAAAAGATAGCACATATTCGGGTCAAATGAAATCTCTCACTCCCAAACTAACAAGGTTAAAACATTAGCTGCCATTGGCTTGCCTAGAGGGAGATTGTTACAGTCATATGTATCACTCTTTGACTCATTGGTATTTGTTTATTCATTTCGCATTCTTTGATGCTTTATTTCTCTCTATATATCTCTCCCTATACTTGGTGAAGGGGAGACAATCTGGAAATAAACGAACATCGAGAAGATACAGGGAAACCTCTAATATTTGGTGCCGTGACCCGTCTTCTCTCGATCATTTTCACATAACGTTGCAAACACCTGTGTATTGGAATTCTGTCACATTCATTAACTCTTCGGTACAATTCATTTTTTCCATTACTATTTACCTAAAAAAAAAAAACAAAAAACCAGAAAAACGACGTCTCAACAACGCAGACATTTGCGAAGCAACACCCAACCCGGTAACTTACTACCACACGATATAATCACATACGGGCGCATCCGACGTCACGCTGTTCCTACGGATACAACTACTTCTTCACATACTATTTCAACTACCAATATGGAACTAAATCCTTTTCAAAATCTTCTTAATACAACTGCTTTAAAGGAACTACCCAAATTTACTGGCGATCCTAATCAGAAAGTTACTCAGTTTATTAATGCTGTTGAACACATCGGTAGCTTCGCTGGATTGAATGAATCGATGCTACATTCTATCGCTACTATTAAATTAGGAGGATCTGCCTTTAATTGGTATGATAACAATAAAGACCATCTACAAACATGGCGAGATCTAAAACAACATCTTCTTGAACGCTTTAAACCATCTCTTTCTGCTATCAAAACGCGACTGAAGGAAAGAAAACAACAACCTGGTGAACTACTTAACGCCTACTATGATGATATTATTGATTTATGTAAACAAGTTGATCAAAATATGCCGCTACATATGATCGTTGATTATTTACAAGATGGTATGCGCAATGATTTAAAAATACACGTCAAACGTCGCCTCAAAACGCTCGATGATGAACCAACACCAGGTATTTTTTGGAAGATCGCTCATGATGAAGAAGAGTTACTGAACGAAATTCCTTCTGAAACCCAACAATCAATCTTTCCAACATCCCCATATTTTGCACCTGTTACTGCTGTCACTCAAAAACAACAAAGCAGCTCTGAAAATTCTCTTCATTCACAAATCCCTCAAAATACTCGTACCACAGATTACATGCACATTCTTAACAAATCACGTGCCTATCGTCCTCGTCCTACGCAAACCAATCACTTCTATCCATGCTTGATCTGTCAACGATCAAATCATCGTACTATCGACTGCTATCATAGACAGCCACGTGGCTGTTACAAATGTGGTAACCATAACCATAATGTTCGTGATTGTCCCCAGGTTTTTCAATAACTGGGACTCAAGATGGCGGAGATCTCAGTAATACTATGCCATCATCATCAACATTCTCAAACCCTTTTTTTATTCGTGCTCAAATCAATCACACCTATCATAATATTCTCCTGGACACTGGTTCCAGTATCACTATTATCCATAATCAATTTTTACAACGCATATATCACAATACGTTTGAACCTTCACAAAATTCTTATATCTCGGCTAATTGTACCACGATCAACATAATCGGTAAAGTTCAACTTGAAATAAAAATTAACGGTCTCTCCACTTTTGTAACGGCTTCTGTTGCTTCGAGTCTCGTCACTGATGTCTTAGTAGGCACTGACTGGATCAATCAATATGTTCTATATATGGATATCTCTACACAACGTTTAACTTTGCAAGATACTACAGGTCAAACTACCACCACTTCACTCATTCAATCGAACAATACATCATGTTGTACAGTCCGATTACTCGATCAAATTACTATTCCACAATACTCCGAATCTGTTATCAAAGCCGCAGTACATCTTCCAGATAGTTCAAATTTGTTGTTTGAACCGTCTTCAAGTTTTAGTCAAAAACCAGTAGTACTTCCAACAGCTTTAATTAAAGTGACTAATTCTCAAACACACTTAACTATTATCAATACCACCAATCATCCATATATTTTACCTTCAAATACGTGTCTCGGTACTGTTTCTTCATCATTACTAATATGTGCAACAACATCACCATATCAATCTCAGTCAACACAATTTCGATCAGCAAAAATACGTCATTATTCTCTGAATTCATTACATAAATGCTACGTCTGTCATCAGAAATTTTTATCACAAAACAATCTTTTTCATCATCTTCGTGTACAATGCTACCCACAAGAATTACGACATCAAATTGAAACATTAACACAACACATCGACTCCGCCTCGCATCGCAAAAAAATCCAAGATGTCCTTTGGAAATACGGTAAACTGTTCGACCTACGTCAACCATCAAAAATCAATATCACTGTCGATCATGTGATCGATACCGGTCAACATCGACCAATCTACACTCCACCTTATCGACGTTCACCTCAAGATCATCAAACTATTACCGCAGAAACAGACAAACTGTTAAAACAAGATAGTATCGAACCATCAACATCACCTTGGTGCTCACCTGTCGTATTAGTGCGTAAAAAAGATGGTACTACACGATTTTGCGTTGATTATCGAAAACTAAATGATATTACTGTCAAAGATTCATTCCCGTTACCTCGCATCGAAGATATTTTCGATCAACTGTCTCAATCAACATATTTCACCACACTAGACTTTAAAAACGGCTATTTTCAAATTCCATTAGCAATTCATGATCGTCCTAAAACGGCATTTTCCACTCGCGATAATCATTAGCAATTCAAAGTCCTCCCTCAAGGTGTAAAAAATGGTCCACCTACGTTCCAACGCATAGTAAACCAAATTTTAGGTCCTGCTCGATGGAAACATTGTCTAGCGTATCTAGATGATGTCGTCATTTTTTCGAGAACTTTTGACGATCATGTTTCTCATTTGGATGAAATCTTTTATTTACTTCACACACACAATTTTCGTCTAAGTTTCGAGAAATGTACCATCGCTACTGATAGCATCAATTATCTGGGTCACCACATTTGTCGTGGAGAAATTCGTCCAAATAATGATAATATACGCGGTTTGTTGGAAACTCCAACGCCAACAACACCGAAAGAGATTTTTCGTTTTTTAAAAGGAGCCGAATACTACCGTAAATTCATTTCCAACTTTTCCCGTATTGCTAGCCCTTTATATAAATATAATCCTTCCAACTCTACACATCCATCTAATACTAAACCTACAATTTTTACATTATCGGCTGACGAACAAGCTGCTTTCGAACAAATCAAACACATACTCACTACCGACCTTGTTCTTCGACTTCCCAATAATCAACTTCCTTTTAAAATACAAACAGATGCTTCACAACTTGGTATCGGTGCTGTTTTATTACAAACCTATCCTGAAGGTGATCGTCCTATATGTTATATGTCTAAGAAGCTTACACCTGCTCAACAACGCTGGTCTCCTATTGAACAGGAGTGTTATGCGATCGTCAAAGCTGTTGAATTATGGCATCACTATTTACACGGTAATCATTTCATCTTAGAATCTGATCATAAACCATTAGAAGCACTCATGCGTAAATCTCAAACGAACGACAAATGTGAACGATGGCGTTTACGGCTACAATCATACAACTTCACAATAAAACACATCAAGGGTAAATCAAACACCATGCCTGATTATCTATCTCGATCACCAGTGGATCACGCTGAAGATGACATTGACGATAACGTTATGCCAACTTCTGCCTCTATCAGTACTCAAACTGATACAAGTGACCACGACACTTTTTCAACATCATCAATTGTCGGTATGGTCACTACTCGTTCTCGTTCTCATCAATTACCACAATCCGATAATCATATTACCACTCCACCAAACACCAATCGCTCTGACGTTCAAAATCATCAATCAACATCATCAACTTCTAAAACTACTACTGATAGTGCACGTATTGGATATACTGGTGCTATTGATCAATTGAAACAAGCACAACAGAAGGACCCTGATCTACAATACATAGCGAATCATCTTAATGATAATAAATATATTAACTCTTATCTTTTACAGGATGGTCTCTTAATGCATTATGAACAACACTCAAAACCTGTTCCATGTGTTCCGAAAGGAGAAATTCGAAATGATATTATGAAAATCTATCATGATACTCAAGCTAACGGCGCACATTTCGGTCGTGACAAAACTATAAAGAAAATCAAAGCTCGATACTATTGGAATACCATGAACAGCGATATAACTAATTATGTTAAGTCATGTATTCGTTGTAATCAAAATAACCCTATTCGCTGCAAACCTCCTGGTCATCTGAAACCGATCGAACCACCGGAAGGAGTTTGGCACTTATTATCAATGGACTTTCACGGACCAATTACTCCTACTAGTCGACGTGGCAACAAATACATTATTTCAATCACTGACGTTCTATCCAAATTCGTTATTGCAAAAGCAGTTCGTGATTGTACTGCTGATACTGCTGCTCGATTTCTTCAAGAAGAGGTTATCTGTAAATATGGCACACCGAAATGTGTTCTTACAGATAATGGTACTCATTTTACATCAACTATGATGGAACATCTACTCAAACGTCTCGGTATCACTCATTTGTACGCAACACCCTATCACCCTCAAACTAATGGTCAAATTGAGCGTTTCAATAGCACGATGGATGCAAAAATTGCTGCCTTATCCAATCAATATCGATCTGATTGGGATGATAACCTTCCATTTGTCATCTTTAATTATAACACAAGTTATCATTCCACTATTAAAACTATTCCATTCGAACTTATGTATGGACGTTCACCTGTCCTACCATTCGATCTACAAAACCCAAACGTTTCCCTCCAACAGTCATCTCACTATGCTCAGAACATAGTGAAATACATATCACATCTAACAAACAATGCGAAAACAAATATCATTCATGCACAACATCAGTACAAATCTAGATATGATACCAATCGCTCAAATCCTACATATTCCATCAACGATTTAGTTCTTATAAAAAATATTCATTCACGTCACAAATTTGATATTCGATATGAAGGTCCATTTCGGATTATACG